ATGTACCATTCCATATATTACATAATCTATTTGTTATCATTCGCACTTCAATTGTTATTATAATCATAAATGCCTATGTCATCACCCGCTCTATTATTATTGTCATCACCATATAGTGTTTAGTTTTCCTCACAGGATATAATTTTTTCCAAATACCATATATATACGATTGTACAGCTTGAAAATAAATTCGTTGAAAAGAGTCTCTTCGCTGAATATCTTGTTCTTAATCTATCTAATCCAGTTCTACAGGTCAGTCGAGGCCTAAATAAGTGAGTGCCAACTTCGCTGACTACAACACCGAGTGACGCAGAGCTCCAACCTCACAGGGGACATCAGTTCCCTAGAGGTTGCAGATACACCTTGGTAACTGGTCCCAACAAGAACGAAACCTAGTTCCTGGACTTCCTACCGATTGCCTCTAACCAACTGACTTCCACGAAAGCAATAATATGCTGTTATTCTACTGTTTATTTCAGGTGTCCTGATCTTCTATGGAAACCTATGCATTCAAAATTAATCTGTCTTGATTAATCAAGAATTTTCATTACTACATATTTTGATATTTTTATCCTTCGGTTGATGTTTATTTTACTGTATTGTTGAAAAGTGAAATGTACAGTCTGGTTTTTAACTACTCATACTACTAAGTAGTATATTCCATCAGTATAACGCCCATTTATGTTTTGCAGGAGAATCAGTGGTCAAATACTTTCCATCGTGTGGCATTTCTTCAACAGGAACAGTGTAGTTTATGAAGTTTCTCAATGGATTATGAAGAAGATCCTTTGTTTGACTTAAAAAAAGTTGGCATGTTATAGATACTATAAACGAGGCATAACAGTTAATCTGAATAAGAAACTTGACTCAAATAACATCATTCATTACTGAAGGACGTATTGGAGAGAAAAACGAAATCCTACAGCCATATCAGAAACCACGGTCAGGTGTCATTTGAGATTACTGAAAGCAAAACTGTTGTCTCTATCCCTCATACTAATGCATCACAAACATGCTTTTCCAGCTGTTGAAGTATTCGGATTATACCTGTGAATCTGATAGATTCATAGCACATTATTATTTGTCCCTTGGGTTCCTAATGGAACATACAGCTTCACTACCGCGTCTCAACTCCACTCTCTTCTCTGCAATATTTCCAACCTGGTTCCACGACTGCCCACAACCTCTCATCTCTTTCTCACACCATCCACTCCATATCACCCTCACCTCTGACACCCAAATCATCGTTTCCCATCCGGGTTCCACTCGAGTGCCCGACCCGGTATACCATGGCGCACGATGTCCACAGTCGGCATTCTCAGTGTATGCCCAATTCCATCCATCTCCACTTCCTTACACTGCATATTTGTTGACCAACAGCTTCTTCATTGGTTCGTTACCAGCCAGTCACAGTAAGTTCCTCCTTGCTTATTCTTATCATTCTCACAATCCATCTGATCTTCAGTGTCACTATCGAGCCAGCATAGGTGGCACTTCTTCATGAATGTGTGTAGTTTGTTGGAAATGCTTTTGGTAACGCATCACCAAGTCTCTCAACCATCACACACAAACACTGGCTCACTTCACTGACATTCGTGTTGAAAGTGCGAATGTTGTTGACACTTTATGTTGAGTGGAGTGCAGAAGATCTCCACACTGGTTTCAGATTAATGAAGGAAGGCCTGTATTGCTTTTCCGATTCCGATGCTGGCTGCTTTGACGTCGTCGTGTGTGCCGCCATCGTTGCCTGTATTTGAAACAGTGTTGCCTAGGTGGTGGGTGAAAGAGGCTACTTCCCTCAACTTTCTCCATTCACAGCACATAGACTGGATTATTTGGAAAAAATCTACGGAATGTTTGGTATGGGCTTTGTATCTGTCATACAGAGAGTGATACTTTGGATTTGATTATAGCCAATGAGTCAGCTGGACATGGTGATAATTTTACTTACCTTAGGGTCAGCTGTAGTTCACTGATAACTAAAGAGCCTCGAGCTCGTAAACAAAACGTTTATCTGATGGTTATTAACAGCTATGGATGATGGTCGTAGAGATTAGATTCAATGAAGAAACGAAATGTACACCTGACACATATTAACAACACTAAATAAGCAAAGTTCAATTGAAGTAGTATGCCTAGACCACCAATCACAGATATCGACCTATATTAATTAGGTCAGTTAATTCGGATGTTGAAGATAGTATCCCCACTTACTTGAAGGTATGGGTAGAGATAAAAGCATAATAAACTGACATGTTCGAACTGCTATTTTCAAAAGTACAACTATTTTGCTTCTATTTACAGTATATATTCAATAAGTCAATGAGTAAAGGAGAACTCTTCTTACAGTTTCATTGGTTTACTCGTTTGACTTGCAACGGAAACGTGCCGGTCGATATTCATCATGGACTGACATCAGTTGGATAAACATTGGAAACCTGGAAGTATTAGATAGCTGTTCCGTCCTTGTGTGGGACTTCTCAGCAGTACCAATCCATGAACCCACAACCGGCCATGGGTAACTAGCTTCGGGAGGTGACTTCTAAAGTTCTAATGAGAAGTTGTGACTAGTAAGGCCAACTAAGTCGAACATGTGGACAGGTACTCAGTGACGGCATTGGATGGAGGTCACGCTATATCATGAACTGACAGATGTAGGAAGTATGAATCATTAAATACCGACCCAGTGGCTAGCTCAATGGTAACGTTCTTGCCACGGGACTTGAGGGTCCTCGGTTCAATCCCTGGTGGGGCGGGAGCGTGGATGCGCACTGCTGAAGAGTCCTGTACCGAGGCAAAACAGCCACCGAGTGCCTCCAGGTTTCTAATTTTTATTCAGCTGACTTCAGTCCATGATAAGTATCAACCTGAAATCAATAAAATTCCCAACAAGCCTTCAAATGGAAATGTGCTGGTTTGAGAACCAGTTCGTTCACCTTCACTCTATGCAACCGGCAGCATCATACGGCAGTATACAATAATTTTGGTTCACACTATAACAAATAAAATCAATACTAGGTTACATAACATAAGGTTTAGGAAAGAATAAAGTAAGTAGCAAGTAAGAAGTAATTAAACTAAGTAGGTGAATGTGACTTATGATATGCTAACTAGGTCTCCACTTCAAAGTAGGTGAAGCGAAACTAGAATACAGAAACCATTTCACAACAGATGGAGAAGTCATTATAACATGGCCTATGGAAATTCGAAGTTTTATTCAGCTTAAAGAAGTTGGTAAACACTAACCATGCTATAAACACTTCTTTTCATCAATTAACAGCATACTGAGCCATCCTATCACAAGTATAATGAATTTATCTTCTGCAAATTTCTGAGGCTATAAAAAAAATCAGAACTCTGTAAATTTGTAGTGGGCGTTGCTGATAAGAATGGATATAAGTAGTATATGTTGAGAGGGTGTCAGAAATCATAGGGAATTACCATCAATGCGTAAGGATTCCACTAAGAGAAATGCAAGAAATAAGACAGGCGTACGAAGAGTAAATCAAAAAGGAAGCAGAAAAGGAAATGAAGTACATTTTGCAAATGATGGCTTTAGTGCAAGGTGTACCATATTTAACGACTACTGTCCCACTTGTTGTAAATGTACATTCCTTCCTTCGTACCTGTCTTCTTGTTTCTTTCAGTATATGATTGTTTGAATTAACTCAGCTTAACTTTCTTGTACTACAGTTCATTTTAGATTCAATAGTTATTGTAGGGTGCTTTCATTCTCTTCATTTACATTTTATTTTTCAAGTTGTTATTCATCGTAGAATGGCATCAGTTGGAGGAACAAAGGAAACCTAGGAGCATTGGACAGCTGTTTCGTCCTAGTATAGGACTCCTCAGCAGTGCGCACCCTCGACCCTGAGGTTCCGTGGCCAGCATATTACAGTACATTAAATTCAAAAATTCTTAATAAATAAATAAATATTTCTAAAGGTGATAAAACAATCCTTTCCTTAAAGACAATTTATGTTTTCTATTTCAATAACAAATGTATCTCTCTTATAATCTCTGAGAAAAACCAAATTGGTTTACACAGTTTATCAGAGTAATCAAGGGAGAATCAGTGTACAAAGTGATGAATACAAATTTTTTTTTTTTAAACACACCAATAAAAATATAAGAGGGAATAAAGAGAGAGACTTGATAAACCCGTTAACATTTAGTCCGTATACACTGACATAAGAATAGCGTCAATAAAATTACACTTGAATTCTCTCTCTCTCTCTCTCTCTCTCTACACACACACACACGCACACGCACACACACACACTTGTCTGTATAAATGAAAGTTGTTTGAATGACCATAGGAAAGTATACTGTCATTAGTAGTAGTAATGGCATCAGTATGAACATTAGTAATAATAATAATAATAATACCCCGGTAAGATAAAGTGAAACACAAGAAATGAAGTTACAAATACAGAGCATAAGTAATAAAGCCTTCTCAATTTTGTTATGCTTTACAGCACAAAGTGAAATAAGAAAAGAGAAGAAAATTAATAACAATAATAACGTAATAAGAAGATGAAAATTATTTGAAACATATCGTGACATATTAACGCTATATACACAATTCAAACAATCTGATCTCTCCTACATATGATACTTGGCGAACTATTTTTTTTTTGGTGAAAATTTACGAAAAAAAAGGTCAATGAAGTTAATAGGAAACATCGGAGGGGAATAGGAAAGGAGAGTAACCAAGAGTAATGTTTTTTTTCTCTCTTCCTTCCTTTTCCCCTCCGATGTTTCCTATTAACTTCATTGACCTTTTTTTTCGTAAATTTTCACATAAAAATAGTTCGACAAGTTCATGTGTAGGAGAGATCAGATTGTTTGAATTGTGTATAGCGTTAATACGTCACGATATGTTTTAGATAATCTTCATCTTCTCATTACGCTATTTAAATTTATCAAAAGGGACCAGTTATTTTAAATAATAATAATGATAATAACAATAATTAGAAGGAATTATATTTTGAGTTAGACTATGCATTCTCTATATCTTGTTGAACTAACTGATTATCTTTAATTTTTGGAAAGGTTTTCATGGCAATACTTGATTTATTATTGTATTGTGATCTTTGAACACGTGTTACACCATCTGTGAAACCAGACTGTGACCATCTACAAGAGGAAATAGTAAAATAGAAGATATCAACTAATAGAAGAAAGTGATTATATGCTTACAATAATTTATGAGTAATAACAATTGTAAAAACCTCGCCTGGTTAATTAGTTCACTAGTTACTAGCCCATCCTAAGCCCGGGTAAAGAGGGAAGGTTGGGCATAGGGCTAGCAACTTTACACCGTAAAACAAATCTAACCGCTAAAAAAACTTCAAAGCACAAACAAAATATAAAAAATAAAAACAAAATTATTCCTCGCTGGAATCGGAGAGGCGAAATGATGCCAGTTGGTGAAAGCCTTCGGGAAGCCAGTTGGCCGCGCCGATGTGTATTCTGTCGATGAAAGCGAAAGTAAGGATGGGTAAATGGAATGTCCGCATCATGTTTGAACCCAGTAAGGCAGCCCAGATTGCAAACGAGATGAGAAGGCATCACATTGAAGTACTAGGAATTTGCGAAAGTAGATGAAATGGGAGTGGACTCTCCAAACCGTCAACTGGAGAATCAATAATCTACTCCGATATTGTCACCCAGACGACAACCACAAGCACAGTAAACTGAGTTTTGTAGTGGCTATCATGATGTCCCCAACAGCATCGAAGGCTCTCATGCAGTGGGAACCAATCTCCAGCAGGACCAGACGGGATACCGCCAGAAGCACTGAAAACAGACGCAGAGACAACAGCGGACATGCTCACACCACACCACTATTGCAGAAGGTGTGGAAGGAAGAGAAGGTACCTGGCCATTGATTGGAAGAAGGGTTACCTTGTCAAACTCGTGAAGAAGGGAGAGCTCAGTGTTTGCAAGAACTGGCGCGGAATCACTCTCCTGTCCACCCCAAGTAAAATATTAGGCCGCATCATCCTGGAGAGGCTTAAAGATGCACTGGATTCAAAACTACGACCGGAACAAGCTGGCAGGATTCATGAGGTACAAATCATGTGCTGACCAAATTGCAACGCTTCGCATTATCATTGAACAGATTATAGAATGGCAGTCAACTCAACCTCAACTTAGTCGACTTTGAGAAGGCCTTTGACAGCGTCGACCGACAAGTAATTTGGAAACTGCCTCACTACTATGGAGTACCGCAAACCTTTATCCACATCATTCAACAACTATATGAAGATGCCACATGCCAAGTAATTCACAATGCGAAGCTCAGTGATGCTTTTGAAGTTAAGACAGGAGTGAAACAAGGTTGCCTACTATCACCCATGATATTCCTGATTGTGGTGGACTGGATCATGCAACAAACAATAGGCAGCGAGAAGAGGGGGATACGCTGGCTGGACTGCGGAAAAGAACCTAGAAGACTTAGATTTCGCCGATGACTTGTGCCTGATGTCACATAAACTTGAAGATCTGCAGGTAAAAACTAACAAGTTGATAAAAGAGGCAGCGAAGACGGGACTTCAAGTGAATATAGAGAAGACAGAGGTGATGAAGATACCGCACCAACAACTCCAACAACAACAACAAACTCCAATCACCATGAACGGGAGAAACTTAAAGGAAGTAACCTCCTTCACTTATCTAGGAAGCACTGTTTCAACTACAGGCGGGACGGACGAGGACGTCAAAGTCAGAATCGGAAAAGCAAGACAGGTGTTCATTAGCCTGAAACAAGTGTGGAGATCTTCTGCACTCAGCATGTGGAACAAGATACGGATTTTCAACACCAACTCAGTCAAGTCAGTGCTTCCATGTGATGGTTCAGAGACTTGGCGCGTCACGAAAGGGATTTCCAATAAACTACAGACATTCATCAACAACTGCCACTTACGCTGGCTCGCTACTGAAGATTAGATAGCCAGAAAGAATAAGCAACAAGGAACTCTGGGAACCAACCAACCAAGAACCTATCACCCAACAAATATGCAGGAAGAAGTGGAGATGGATTGGGCATACACTGAGAAGGCCGACTGAGGACATCACGCGTCAGGCCAGTTGCTCGAGTGGAATCCCCATGGGAAGCGACGAGTTGGGCGTCGGTGCCGAGGGTGACATGGAGGAGGTCGTGCGAGGAGGAAATGAGAGGTTGTGGGCTGTCGTGGAACCAGGTTCAAAAGATCTCAGAGAACAGAGGTCACTGGAGACGTGCTACTGAAGCCCTATGTTCCACTAGGAACCCAAGGGACTAATAATAATAATTTAAAAAAAACAATTGTAAAGCTTTAGAAAATGGTAAAAATGGTAAAAAAAATATTCTTTATCACAAATCCTTCTTCTTTATGAATTTTCAGAGACTGTTGAATACATAAGTGTCAAAAAGTGATGAAAATGTATCTATTACAACATATCTAATTCAGAAAAGTTACCGCAAACCTTTTTCAGCCACATTCAACAGCTATATGAAGACGCCACATGCCAAGTAATTCACAATGAGAAGCTCAGTGATGCTTTTGAAGTGAACACGGGAGTAAAATAACGCTGCCACCTACTATCAACTATGATCTTCCTGATTGTGGTCTACTGGACCAGATGATGCAACAAACAGTGAGGAGGGAGAAGAGGGGGATACGCTGGCTGTCTAATGTCACACAAACTTGAAGATCTACAGGTGGAAACTAACAATTTGACAGAAGAGGTGAAGCAGCGAAGACGCGACTTCAAGTGAATATAAAGAAAACACAGATAATGAAGATAACCAACCAACACCACCACCACCACCAACAACAACAACCTCCAATCACCATCATTGGGAGAAACTTAAAGGAAGTTACCTCTTTCACCCACCACCTAGGCAGCATTGTTTCAAATACAGGCAACGATGGTGGCATAGACGAGGACGTCAAAGCAGCCAGCATCCGAAAGACAGCAACACAGGCCTTCCTTGATTAACCTGAAAATGGTGTCGAGATCTTCTGCACTCCACTCAACATAAAGTGTCAACAATATTCGGATTTTCAACACGAATGTCAGTGAAGTGAGCCAATGCTTCTGTGTGATGGTTGAGAGACTTGGCGGTGCGTAACCAAAAGTATTTCCAACAAACTACACACATTCATGAAGAAGTGCCACCTACGCTGGTTCGATAGTGTCACTGAAGTTCAGATGGATTGTGAGAATAATAAGAATAAGCAAGGAGGAACTCACTGTGACTGGCTGGTAACGAACCAATGAAGAAGCTATTGGTCAACAAATATGCAGTGTAAGGAAGTGGAGATGGATGGGATTGGGTATACACTGAGAATGCCGACTGAGGACATCGTGCGCCATGGTATACCGGGTAGGGCACTCGAGCGGAACCCCGATGGGAAACAACCATTTGGGTGTCTGAGGTGAGGGTGAGATGGAGTGGATGGTGTGAGGAAGAGATGAGAGGTTGTGGGCTATCGTAGAACCAGGTTGAAAATATTGCAGAGAAGAGAGTGGAGTTGAGACGTGGTAGTGAAGCAGTATGTTCGATTAGGAACCCAAGGGACTAATAACAATAATATTAATAATAATAATGACAGTAATAATAACAGTAACTAGAAAACGTAGATTATCTGATCACATATTTACTTGTTAAGGCAGTATTATATATGAAAACTGGAAGACAAATATGATATAAAGGAATTCAATAATAAGGAAGATAATGAAAGGAAAAAAAGATAAAATTTGAAGACTAAGGCTCAATGTAAGGACAAACTGTTTTTTCACACACCAGGGGGGGGGGGTAAATTTATTTATGGCTAGCGCCTCAACAAAAGTAAGTATACGCCTCTGATAGTTTCCATACAAAATTGCAAAGGCTGTTTTGATATCAATCCTGTGACTCTTATCAATGATATGTTTCGCAATGGATGCGGATGATGGTAGTCTGTCACCTGGGCTTATCAATGTTTGTGAATTCAGCTGCTTTCGTAGCCATTTTGAAACATGTTCCCCTACCCTCAAGTGTATATCATGATTAGTCCTCCCTATGTATGTTTTTCCACACACACCCATGTAAATTTATAAACGCAGTGGGATACAGCGTTGAGGTCTGGACTGCAGCAGGTGTTTGGTCCTCTCAACTACAATAAGCTTAGCTGCATAGTACGTTTTGCTAACAGCAGACCTTAACCTTCGTTTTAATACTATCCTGTTAGATTCTCCTCTGTGTGGTAACGCGATGTAAACGCATTTCTTCGAAACAGAGTACACATTAGGTTTGAATCCTTGCTGATTTATGTAGCGGTTTATGAATTTCAATGGATATCCATTTTCCACTAATGTTCCCGTTAGTATTTTGATATCATCATCCATTGAGTCTTCGGTACAAATACGCTGGATCCTTTTAAATAGACAAGTTACCGAACAGCGCTTGTATTGGGTTGGACAAAAGCTATGGAAACTTAAATGCTGACCTATCCAAGTACTTTACCTGTAGATCAACCGTTTTATTGAACCATCATTCTTACGACTTTGGAGTATATCCAAGAATGGCAGACGGTTTTCTTTCTCTTCTTCACATATTAGGTTTTTGTTGTTTTGTACGATGTCAAGTCTTTGTAACAAACATGTCGTATCTTCCTTTATGCTTATCACATATCACGATTACATCATCAACATATCTTTTATAGAGAGTAACTTTATTGATGAGATCGCCGGTCAAGCCCTCAATGTGTGACATGTAAATATCAGCTAGCAATGGTCCTAAGGGACTTCCCATAGCCATACCATCTATTTGTCGAAAATGTTCACCTTCAATTGTGAAATGAACTTTATCAGTACACAATAATAACAGCTGTCTTAAACACTTTGAGGAGATAGGGAAAGAAAGACTACTGGAAGATATATGGTCAAAAGGAATGTCACAGGTTTTAATTAGGGGTACATTAGTAAATAAGTAGTTGACATCAAATGAATACAATCTGTTATCTTTGATATTAATATCACTGACATAATCAACAAGTTTGTAATTATGTTTTAAAGAAAACTTACATAATTCATATCGAATAGGAATTAGAGTTTTTGCCAGCTATTTCGCCACTTTATGTGTAGATGAACGGAACATGGAGAGTATAGGACGTAAAGGATTATTTGTTTTATGGATTTTAGGCAATCTATACAGATTAGATAGCTCAGACCCCATTGGTTTGAGGGAAGTGAATTCTGCCTTGCTGATAACACTGATATTCTAATTTTCTAAGGTCATCAGATGGTCGCTAAGGATGGACATTTGTGTATCACAACCACACCTGACCCTTTATCGGGTTTGTGAATGATTATATCAGATCTATTTCGAAGTCATTTTAAGGCTTTGAAATGTTGTGAAGTTAGGATACTTCGATGTCTTGGGCCTGAACTATGGAACTGATGGGCAATATCCACTAGCTTAGCCCTCAACCAACTCTGATTATCTGACGAGGTTGGAACAAGGTGAAATAACTGATCATAAAGACTTTCAAATTGGGTATCAATAGCTAAATCCAAAATTTTTGAGTAGGGAACCAAAAAAAACTGAATCCAAGGGAAAGCACTTCCTTCTCACACGTCGAAAATTGAATAGACGATACACTAGTTACATATTTATCTGGATTAATTGGGGAATGAATTCCTTTATGCCATGTTTGTCCTTCTCCCACTTACAGTTTTCATATATAATACTGCCTTAACAAGTAAATGTGTAAGGGGTGGGATCAGATTGTTCGAAATGATGTATAGCACCAATACATCACATGTTGTTCAGATAATCTACGTCTTCTAATTACAATATCTTTTCTGTTTTTATTTCATACAACCCTCAAGTGATAATTAATTTATACAACAGAAAAACTTACACATCTTCCATATGCATACGTTCCATTACAGTATCTTCATCTTCATTAACATCATCATCACCAGAAATAAGTAAATATGGATTATTATTAACTGGACGAAATTCATAACCAACTGAGATAAAGAAAATAATGGTCACAGTTTCTTTGAATAATTCAACAAGCCAAGAATATGAATAGGCTACTGTAATTGTCATTAGATAGACAATAACACGTGTAAAATACACGTAACATATAACCTATGAAATGAGAATAAAATAAAATCCAAAAATTTATATTAAACAAACATAATGAATATATAAATTTTTCCAAGAAAGAAATCAAGTACATAACATGAACACGTTTATTTTAGCCTCCTTAATAGATATGTCATACAGTGAAGAAATAATATCATATACTGGATGATAACGTTTCGAACACAATTCATTGTCCATATTCATATAAAATAACTTCATAACTTCGAGACATAGTTGATTCGTTACCAGCCAGTCACAGTGACTTCCTCCTTGCTTATTCTTATTATTCTCACAATCCATCTGAACTTCAGTGTCACTATCGAACCAGCGTAGGTGGCACTTCTTCATGAATGTGTGTAGTTTGTTGGAAATACTTTTGGTTACGCACCGCCAAGTCTCTCAACCATCACACAGAAGCATTGGCTCACTTCACTGACATTCGTGTTGAAAATCCGAATATTGTTGACACTTTATGTTGAGTGGAGTGCAGAAGATCTCGACACCATTTTCAGGTTAATCAAGGAAGGCCTGTGTTGCTGTCTTTCGGATGCTGGCTGCTTTGACGTCCTCGTCTATGCCACCATCGCCGCCTGTATTTGAAATGATGCTGCCTTGCCTAGATAGGTGAAATAGACAACTTCCTTTTAGTTTCTCCCAATGATGGTGATTGGAGCTTGTTGTTGTTGATGGCTGGGTATCTTCATCACCTCTGTCTTCTCTAAGTTCACCAAAAGGAAGTCCCGTCTTCACTGCCTCACCTCTTCTGTCAAATTGTTACTTTTCGCCTGTACATCCCAGAGTTTATGTGACAAGACATTAGACACAAGTCATCGACGACGAAATCAAAATCTTCTAGGATCTTTTCCCTCGTTCAGCCAGCGTATTCCCCTCTTCTCCCTCCTCACTGTTTCTAGCATCATCTAGTCCAGTAGACCACAGTCAGGAAGATCATCGGTGATAGTAGGCACTGTAGTAGATTGTAATTCCATTTTAGTCTCCGTAATAGATATGTCATACAGTGAAGAAACAATATCATTCACTGGATGATAACGTTTCGAACACAATTCATTGTCCACATTCATATCAAATAACTTCACAACTTCGAGACATAGTTGATATAGTTCTAATCCTTTCTCCTTCTTCGTGATGACGAGGGTAGTAGAATTTTCCACATATCTCGAACAGGTGTAGAATGATTTCTATCAGGAGTGGATTTAGTGTTAAATATCTATGAACAGGGATTTGATTATCCATCTCTCTCTCCCTCCACCCAACTAAGTTACTGTTTTTAACGTTATGGATTTATCTTATCCTACTGTATGATTGTGTGTACTTGCATGCAGAGCTATAGTATAGCTTATTACCATTTACTAACCTTGTGCTCTGTTATCCTAACGGAACCTGGTCGACTACTTTGAACTGTTTATTCAAATTCATAATCATTGCAACAGATTTGCTAAACTAAATCATTTTGTTGAATTGGATCAACAAGATCTAGGATCTTTAGGATTTTTTTTTAACTTACAAGGCTTCTTTCCAAGTGAGTTTCTTGAATTTAAATATCACTTTAATATCAGCCTTAGTAAGAATTAGTCGTCATGTTTCTGACGTTACTTCTTTGTATGGCAACTCAACAGAAGCCTTGAATTCTCTCTCCACTCTATCACCACAAGCAGTTACCCACCCTAATTTATAGATACATTCATAAGAAATTGAAAGAAAAATATTAGCTGTAGTAGTAGTAATAATAATGATAATAATACTACTGGTGATAACAGTAATGGTAACAAGGTGGAGAGAGAATTCAAAGCCTCTGTTACGTTACCATACAAGGAAGGCACCTCAGAAGAATTCCCAACAAGGCTGAGATTAAAGTGGTATTTAAACCAACAAACTCGCTTTAAAAAAAATCTTGCAGGCTAAAACATCCTATCTGTGCAATTAAGCAAAATAATCTGGTTTACCAGATCCCTTGCAATGATCACAAGGTGAAATACCTAGGTCGAACTAGTCGACCACGGTCAATTAGAATAACAGACCACAAAAACTTAGCTAAATCAAGTTAAGTAGGTCATTATAAGTTGAGAAACTTTGAGAAAAGCTATACTATAGCTCTGCATGCAAGTACACACAATCATACAGTAGGATAAGATAAATCCATAACGTTAAAAACAGTAACTTAGTTGGGTGGAGGGAGAGAGAGATGGATAATCAAATCCCTGTTCATAGATATTTAACACTAAATCCACTCCTGATAGAAATCATTCTACACCTGTTCGAGATATGTGGAAAATTCTACTACCCTCGTCATCACGAAGAAGGAGAAAGGATTAGAACTATATCAACTATGTCTCGAAGTTGTGAAGTTATTTGATATGAATGTGGACAATGAATTGTGTTCGAAACGTTATCATCCAGTGAATGATATTGTTTCTTCACTGTATGACATATCTATTACGGAGACTAAAATGGAATTACAATCTACTACAGTGCCTACTATCACCGATGATCTTCCTGACTGTGGTCTACTGGACTAGATGATGCTAGAAACAGTGAGGAGGGAGAAGAGGGGAATACGCTGGCTGAACGAGGGAAAAGATCCTAGAAGATTTTGATTTCGTCGTCGATGACTTGTGTCTAATGTCTTGTCACATAAACTCTGGGATGTACAGGCGAAAAGTAACAATTTGACAGAAGAGGTGAGGCAGTGAAGACGGGACTTCCTTTTGGTGAACTTAGAGAAGACAGAGGTGATGAAGATACCCAGCCATCAACAACAACAAGCTCCAATCACCATCATTGGGAGAAACTAAAAGGAAGTTGTCTATTTCACCTATCTAGGCAAGGCAGCATCATTTCAAATACAGGCGGCGATGGTGGCATAGACGAGGACGTCAAAGCAGCCAGCATCCGAAAGACAGCAACACAGGCCTTCCTTGATTAACCTGAAAATGGTGTCGAGATCTTCTGCACTCCACTCAACATAAAGTGTCAACAATATTCGGATTTTCAACACGAATGTCAGTGAAGTGAGCCAATGCTTCTGTGTGATGGTTGAGAGACTTGGCGGTGCGTAACCAAAAGTATTTCCAACAAACTACACACATTCATGAAGAAGTGCCACCTACGCTGGTTCGATAGTGTCACTGAAGTTCAGATGGATTGTGAGAATAATAAGAATAAGCAAGGAGGAACTCACTGTGACTGGCTGGTAACGAACCAATGAAGAAGGTATTGGTCAACAAATATGCAGTGTAAGGAAGTGGAGATGGATGGGATTGGGTATACACTGAGAATGCCGACTGAGGACATCATGCGCCAGGCCAGGCCCTCGAGTGGAACTCCGATGGGAAGCGACGAGTTGGGCGTCGCAACTGAAAATGACATGGAGGAGATCGTGCGAGGAGGAAATGAAAGCTTCTGGGCTATCGTGGAGGCAGGTTCAAAAGATTTCAGAGAATAGAGCGCCCTGGAGATGTGCTACTGAAGCCCTTTATTCCATTAGGAACCCAAGGGACAAATAATGATATAAGAATAATACAGTGCCCAAGTTTTACCCCTATATTAATGAAGACGTTCACATAGTGAATATTCAATAATACGTAGTTTGAATGGATGGATGGATAGATGGACAGATGAATAGCATACAACTTGATTTTACACAACTATTATTGCTTTTATTTTTTCGATAGTGATTGATAAACATATTTTACTATTCTGAAAAAGTGTTTACTTGTCACAGGTAAAGGTTGATATATAAAACGAAAATGAATGAAAAATCCAGTCGTATTATAGAAATAAATGAAAATTAGCTTGACTATCTATCTATCAGCGATCACCGGAGTTTTCTACCCGGTACTTCATCAACTGACCTACAAAACCCAACTGTTAACCAAATTTCTAATTTATCCCTCTTACTTACGAAAGGAATTTAATTCGTGTTTCGAATCAGTAAGATTTGTACAGTTGACACTTTGAACAGTGAAATAAGAAGAATAGAGAACTCCTTACACGAGAATGGCTATCCTGAAAAGTTCATAAGGACTGAAACAATAAAAACAGCTAAAGAAAAGCACGTTCGAACGATACCGAGGAAACGATTGTAGGATATACAACTGCAGAAACACTGACACTGAAATTCACTACTCGCAGTGTGACGCCAATGAAGTTGAAGAATAGACTTCTGAATCTGGCTAGATATATACGTATATTTATAAATTGAATTGCTCCTATGGAGAACATTATGTAGGTAAAACGACTCAGTAAGCCCACTATCGCTTCACCGAATACTGTCCAGTGTGGTTAGGCAAAAGAACAGTGAAATCCACCAAAAGGTCAGTACTAGCCTATGTAGTAGATACGGAATATAAGATTGAAAAAACCTCAGTATTTACTATTATTTACAAAATCGCATTACAATACTCTAAGTTTGTGCAACTCCAATTGTTAAGCTTAGCAGAAGTCATAGCAACTAAAATCTCCATACCTAATTATTGTATTCAGATGTTTGTTTGTTCCCTTTCTCTCCCATAGCTTTCAACTTCAACCCAGATACAACTACAGTAATTTCCTTCCCGGTCGCTCGGTCTTAGTTTCATAATTGATTAAGAATTATATTTCTCTCTATCCCTGCACACACACACATACACACACACACACACACACACACAAATTCACTCATATGTCTACAAGGATTGACTACTGAAAATATAGGGACTTTCCTAGATTTTGTTTCTGTTATTGTCGCCTTTATTGTCATGGGTCATGGGTACGCACTGTTGAGGAGTCCCATACTAGGATGAAACACCTGTCCAGTACTCCCAGGTTTCCGGTGTTTCCCCATCCGTTGTCACTCTATGATGAACACCAACTTGAAATCAATAAAATCTACACATAACCCCAAAATGATTCAACCATTTTAACTACAAGTCAAGACATAAATACACTGTGGAATAAAACAAGATTCAGCTGCAGATTTGCAAAACACCGTTGTTAGGCAACCAATCAAAGAAAAGTAATATATCTTAGCAGAAAATGAATGTTCATGGAGCATGTACAAATTTCATACAAAGAAAAGGCTGCTACTATAACAGATACATAAGATTTTGATTATCCATTAAGACACGAGAGAGAGAGAGAGAGTAACGCGTCGCGAATACACAAGGTGGTTGGGCAAAACACATGGTGATCGAAGTAAAATAAAAATCTGGTCAGCAGCCAGAACTTGTAGCTCAATTGGTAGAGCATTGGGTCAGAAACCCGGTGGTCACTGGTTCGAATCCGGCAGCGATTGAAATTTTCACTACACATTCAATCACCACCCCGTGAAAGAGAGAGAGAGAGGGTGAGGACAATGTACTCAGGAGCCTCTCCTACATATTTATGCAGTAGGGAATGAGCCACAATTATTGTGTGAGGGTTAGTGATACTGCCTGATTGCCTAGATCTCGTCAGTTGCAGAGGTGTTTCAGTCTATGAACCAATGCCTGAAAGTTAAGTGTCTAAGCCAATAACCAACAGCTTTATTTCATTCTATGGAAAACAAAATTTAGAATCCAATCAAACTTTCAGAAACAGATAAGTTTGACTACAAAATCTCAATCCTTTTGCATAACACCTTGAATAGGATAAACAATTCACAACGCATTATTATTATTATTTATTCCTTGGTTTCCTAGTGGAACATAGGGCTTCAGTAGCATATCTCCATTCCACTCTCTTCTCTGCAATCTTTTCAACCTGGCTCCACGACAGCCCGTTTGCAATCTGGGCAGCCTTACTAGGTTCAAACATAGTGGGAATATTCCATATCCCCATCCTTACTTTCGCTTTTGTAGAGAGAGAAGACACATCGGCCAATTGACTTCCCGAAGCCTTTCACCAACCGGCGCCATTTCGTCTCTCCGATTCCTGAGAGGAATAATTTTGTTTTTATGTTTTATATTTTATTTGTGCTTTAAAGTTTCTTTAGCGGTTGGATTGGCTTTACGGTGTAAGGTTGCTAGCCCTATGCTCAACCTTCCCTCTTTACTCAGGCTTAGGATGGGCTAGTAACTAGTGAACTAGTTAACCAGGCGCGGTTTTCAGAATGTCAAGTGCTACAATTCATAGATGTATAACACTAATATGTAGGCTACCTCATTAATCAATACTCTGAAGAAAATTCCATCTATTCGTTAAGTAACCCTACTATAAATTGATAATTTTTACAATTTCTATATAGATCTAAAGATGTTTGAAGTCAGAAAGATGTACTTCTCAATCCTTGATTAGAGTGAATAAAGAAATAAAGATACATTAGCTCTATTATATTCTCATCAAGAATAACAATAAGATAGTTAAGTAAGACATGGTTGTAGTGAAGATAGTTTTTCTTTTCTTTTCGATGAAATCATTTACTACTAAGCTGAATATTCGTGAATATATGTTACAGTGGGTAGAATGTTCCACAATTGTTTCCGGTCAGGGGGGAGCAAAATATATTGAATGATGAAAGGAAGTTAATTAATACACATTTGGAGTGGGAAAATAGACAAGGGATTATGAAATTAAATGTAATTACGTAAAACAGGGTAAATGTATGGCAAAGTAGGAAACTGAACGAAGGGTTATGGAGATAAAACTACGATTACGTAATACGGATAAGCCTATGATAGAGTATGAGAATAAACAGGGTATTATGGAAATACGACTGTAATTACGTAATACAGGTTCAATCTATGTTATAGTAGAAAAATGAATAAGGTATACATGTGTAGTTACCTGATACAAAATGAATCTGTGACAGACAGGGGTTCATGATGGCCATGGGAAAGATAAAGTTTGGACGTACCTTTTTTGCACGCATAACTCTGGTTTGAACTTCTGGATGGTTAGTGCTTCAGCTATGGACAGATGCCTTGGTTTTACTGCCTTCAAGTGGTTTGGCCGAATCCTGTAGAGGATTTTGAATGAGCATTCGAAAGGAGCTAAGTGGCATGAGTTCACGAGGTGTTCTGTTATCGAACTGAAGATGCATTTCCATTCTCCCTTTGCAAGCCAGGCTGGGTAGTGTTCACGGACACGTTTTACAAGCGGACACCTAGTACGGTCGATGTACTCAGCTTCACAAGGCCAAGTAAACTGGTATACACATTATTGATTTGGCTGAACTCATGTCACTGCAACCACATTTTGTCTTTTCCATGATCAATTGGGTATATTCCGCTGTTTATAGTTAAATAAGTTATGATACCTCTCTTTCGGGGAATTAAGATAAAAGGGAGGAAGCGCATCTTAACCGCCTAATCTCATCATTTTCTCGTTTCCCCCTTCCTCTCTTTTACTTCTTTCTACTGCTTTTAACCGATTTTCCTTTCATTCCTCATCTCCCATTTTATTGCCTTGTTACTTGATGTGGTGATGTGAGATGTGTCAACTTGGACTGTTACGTAGTAATGCCTGTTCCTGTGTTAATCTTGACGACGATGACAGTATCGTGCTAAAAGACTTTTCCAAAAGCCTGAATAGTCACGCGCACAAAAATCTGTTAGATATTTTCGGTGACAGGGAGAAATATATAACAGAAATAATCCAGTTGAGACTGCATGCAGTATGCTTAATCAACATCACCAATATAGGACCAGGCATTATTGCGTAACAGTCCACGTTGACATATCTCACATCACCACATCAAGCAACAAACCAATAAAATGGAAGATGAAAAACGATAGAAAAATTGATCAAACAAGTAGACGGTAGATAGGCATACATAACACATGTAACACCATCTCACTCCATCAAGGTTCATGACCACATCAACTCTCTTACCTCTCTTGCCTAAAACTCCACACCTCACTTCTGCGTTACTCGTATGGTGACGCTACAAACGGGACGACAGTTAAACACCTCAAGCTTTCTCATATCTTCTACCTTTACTTCACATGTTTCACAGGCGTAGAGTAGAACAGAGCAGACTGCAGCACAGTACACTCGATCCTTAATAGATAATCCGATATCGTGGTACTGCCACAGATGGCATAAGTTGGCAAAAGCCAGTCGAGCCTTTCAATCAATCAATATCAACACAGGATCAGGCATTACTGCGTAACGGTCCAACTTGCCACACCTCATATCATTACATCAAGTAGAAAGGTAGTGAGGTGAAGGATGAAGATAAGTGAATGCAGTCAAAAGAAATATAAAGTATGAGAAGAAAGGAAAGAGGAATGACAAAATGGTGAGATTCGGTATAGCGTTGTTAAGATGAGGATAATGTGTGTATACATCTGCACCACTGACATCGGTTCTCAGCCATATCACCTAGAGTCAGTCTCCAACCACTGGTTCCTCTTGCCCCGCCGACCCCAACCACCTAGTGTGCATCGCCCTACATGGCTCAAACCAACAGCCAAGCCTTTAGTATCCATGCAAAGATTTCATCGCTCATTGACCCACCAAGATTGATCCCAATTAAAACAGATACCCACTGAAAATAAACCATTTTCTGTAATAATCAAACATAAAAAGGCAGAAAATGAATAACATTATAAAATAAAGAGAAAAACAATATCAGAAGAAAAAGGTCAATTTTTTTTTCCAACTTACTAGAATATAAAAGTGACGGAATAATCGTAAATTGCGTAGATTTATAGCTGCTTTACCATCAGTTTGAGAAGCTGTTTTCAAATGTCGAATTGACCATACTACAGGGAATAAAATTGCACCACAACACGCTAAATCAACAAAAATGAAAATTTCTTTCCATGTAGCATAACGAGCTGCACCAGCTTCAGATTCTTCAATAATTACAGTGGCAATATTTGCCAAAATCTTAATATAAAGTTAGAAAAGGAAGGGAAAAAAAGAACACCATTTTTATACTCATTTCAACACAAAGAAAAGTGTATCAAAAGTTAAACAAACACATAACTTAGTTATTCTATCATAACAGAGAGTGAATACATTGAAATTTGATCACTGTCATAATTCTTTGCAATCGCATTAAGATGATCCTCAACCTCAGATCTAAATATTAGCTATATCATCTTGTAACATATAGACAATTCAGTAAGGTTTAATGTATATGAATATCATTATTATTTGTCTCTTGTGCTCCTAGTGGAACATAGGGTTGCAGTAGCACTACTCCATTCCACTCTCTTCTCTGCAGTCTTTTCAACTTGGCTCCACCAATGCCCAAAAGTTCTCATTTCTTCCTCACACGATCTCCTCCTACATATCACCCTCGCCTCGGACGCCCAACTCGTTTCCACTCGACGACCTGGCATGGCCTGACACATGATGTTCCTAATCGGCCTTCTCAGTGTATGCCCAATCCCATCCATCTCCATTTTCTTCTGCATATTTGTTGGGCAACAGCTTCTTGGGTGATTCATTGCTAGCCAGCCAGAGTTCCTTGTTGCTTATTCTTATTATTCTGGCCATCAGTCTGATCTTCAGTGTCAGTATCGAATGAGTGCAAGTGGCAGCTGTCGATGAATGTCTGCAGTTTGTTGGAAATGCTTTTGGTAACGCGCCGCCAAGTCTCTCAATCATCACAGAGAAGCACTGACTTGACATTAGTGTTAAAAATCCGGATCCTGTTCTTTGTGCTGAGTGCAACAGTTCACACTGATTTCGGATTAATGAAAGCCTGTCTTGCTTTTCTGATCATGGTTTTGACATTCTCACCTGCGCCGCCACCACCGCCTGTAGTTGAAATGATGCTGCCTTGTCTAGGTAGGTGAAAGAGACTACTTCCCTTAGGTTTCTCCCATTGATGGTGATTGGTGTTTGTTGTTGGTTGGGTATCTCCATCACCACTGTCTTCTCTACATTTATTTGAAGTCCCCTCTTCGCTGCCTCACCTCTCCTGTCAAATTGTTACTTTTCGCCTGTAGATCCTCAATTTTGTGTGAAATAACCTCAGACACAAGTCATCGACGGCGAAATCCAAGTCTTCTAGGATCTTTTACCCCGTTCAGCCAGCGTATCCCCCTCTTCTCCCTCCTCATTGTTTCTAGCATCATCTAGTCCAGTAGACCACAATCAGGAACATCATCGGTGATAGTAGACAGCCTTGTCTTACTCCTGTCTCCACTTCAAAGGCGTCACTGAGCTTTCCATTGTGGATCACTTGGCATGTGGCGTCGTCATGAATGAGGTTGATAAAGATTTGTGGCACTCCATAGTTCACAACTGAACTATGCATCAACATATCAGATATTCCATCGTTGCAAAGCCTAGATTAATAGACAGCAAAATACTTTCGTGAAATTGAATACTACTATCAGGTCAAGAAATACGGCATGTTGTGTTGGCCACTAGTAAATATGCCTATGTTCTGAAAGTTGTAGAAGGATGAAAATCTCATTGATGCAACATTTGTCTAGGTCTCAAATCTACCTGCTTTTCTTCAATTTTCTGTTATCGAGCTCCATTTTAGGCATCGTATAACTATGAACCCTAGAATTTTGGATAGGATGGGAGTTTAACTAAATCCCGTATGGTCATCACAGGAAGACTCCTCTCCCTTTTTATGAACTAGGAGGATCAACGATATAGACCTAGTAGACCTCCGTTATACTACTCAATAATTACCTACATCTACCCTTCAAAAACTTCTAGCAGTAAACTGTCGGGTTTTGCTACATTTTATCGTTAACAGTTTGAAACAATCTTCTCAAGTCCGAAGAGAGTTAGAGGACCGACATCAATGCCCTAATCTAGGTTCAGGCTGAGTGCAGGGCAACTGAAATGTGGCTGTTCCTTAAAGTGTTCTAACCAACGTTATAGCCTCTTTGTCTAAGAGACCGTCACACAGCCATCCTTTTCACCGATCGTCTCACTAATCATTGTCTTCAGCATCTTTAGTAAAACCGAGTGTTAATTAGTGTTGATGTCTTCTCCACCTAATTTGCGGTCGTCACCTACCGCTGCTCGTGATCATTGCAAAGACTCTTAGTCAACTTACTTTGAGGTTGCTTTCGCTTTATTGCATCAATAGTTTTGAATGAAGTTGTGGAAATCCACTGACTTTTGTTAACCTTAGGATGCAGGTTACCAACCGTATGTACCATTTTTTCTACAGCAGATTCAATAACACGCTAGGTTTTACCAAGAAAAAAATCGCTGTCACTTCTAGATAAATGCTTAGCTATCTATTTCCTAAATATACATTTCGCACCCAGGCTTCATTGCCACATATCTTCTGCGACCAGTAAGGTAGAAACATTTACGTGCCCGTAATAACCAGTGATAGGAGTTCAAACGGGTACGCCAGAAAGAGTCGCAATTTCCCACTGATCCTCTCCAAAGATGGCTAATAGCAATTTGATCCAAGTGTGTCCATCTTAGATTAGAATGTCGACCAATCGATACAGTGTACCTCATTATGCTTAAAGTTAGTGCTGCCTAGAAATAAGTGGTTGTCAGAAAAAATTGTAAGAGGCAATTACTGTTGTCGATTAGTTGACCAGGGATACGAAAGGCACCTACAAGATGCCTTCCCCACTGGCTCAACTTTCTTGCTTGAGCATTGAATTCGCCTGTTGATATGACCATATCTGAACATTTCGCTTCATGTAGCAAAAGTGAAAACTTTTAGACAGAACTCATCACTTGTATCGTCCGGACTGCAATCAGTGGGTTCATAGGCTGAGAGTATGACTAGACATTGTTAAGTGTCACGAACCTTTTCAGTAGTTACAGATCCATTCGGTTGGTCAACGCATAGATGGCTGTCGAGTGGTATCCAGTTGAGAAGTATGCCGTTTGTTCAACAACGTAATGCAGCACCTACACTACTGCGTTCATGAGATCAAGTCATTAAATTTCCGGACACTTGTAAGGTGGGTTTCGAAGATTCGTCACATTGAGGGTCGAATGAATAAACACACACCAATCCTGTATACTTCACTTCGATTACTTTGACGTATATAATTGACGACATAATCGTTGGATGGAATTCGAAACACCGAATTACTTTATCTAATGGGATCTATCGGATCCTTTAGTCTAAAAAGCTTGTTTCTTAGTAAGTTTGTAGGGTAACATTCCACCATGAGTCTAAACGTGTTTGGAATCTTGTATACATTTTCTGAGGTGCCTTCCTTGTAAGGCAACACGGTGGACTTTTTTAATTCTCGTCTCTTAGTCGATTTATTTGGTTGTGGCTAGCAGAGGAATCCAGGACGCGCGTTCCGTCTGGTCAAATGGATGTACTTGCACCCCAGTGCGGAGTAGTGTTTTTTCCACTGGAACTCAAAAACCTCGTACCCATCGTTTAAAAAGCCGTGGCGTTATCCACTAGGCCACTGAGGCACGACAGCTACTTCTTGTAGAACGGGTATTAGTTAATATTATTTATTTATAGAAGTCGAACAATTCGATTCAATAAAACAATGGAGAATTACAAGCATATCGACAAATAGTAATAACCAATACCTATTGTACAAGAGGCTATCGTGCCTCAGTGGCACAGTGAATAACGCCTTAGCATTTGAAGTGATGAGTATGAGGTTCGAGTTTCAGTGGGAACAACATCACTCACCGGGATGCCAGTACATCCAGCCAACGAGTTTAAAATAGGACGGAACGCGCGTTCTGGATTCCTCTGCTAGCCACAACCAGAGAAATTACCATGATTACAATTCAAGCAACATCGAGGCATCCGCATAGGAACCCATATGTCAATAGAGGTCGAACAATTCGATTCAATAAGAGAACGGAGAATTACAAATGTATTAGTAGAGACCGATCAATTCGGTCCAAGCAACGACGGTATCATATAAAAAACAAACAATTATACTAAAACTATATCCGTCGCATAAGAAGTGGTTATCGTGGCTCGGTGGTGCAGTGGATAACGCCCAGGTGTTTGAAGCGATCGCTACCGAGTCCCAATCCCGGTGGGAACAACATCACTCACTGGGAAACAGGTACATCCAGCTGACTGGTGAGTCCCAAATAGGACAAAATACGCATCCTGAATTCCACTGCTAGCCACGGTCCATAATTAATACAATTAGAACGCAGGTAATATCGAGGCATCCGCACAGGAGCCCATATGCCAATAGAGACCGATCAATTCAGTTCAAGCAACGACTTCATTATATATATATATATATATATATATATATATATATATATATATATATATATATATATATATATATATATATATATAATAACTAATAAATCGTTTCTTAGTGTTGGCATTATTACTATGTATGGTACTTGTGCATACGTTACCCATCTTATGACTTCTTATACAGTTACGGATCACTATGAAAATCTACGATAGGAAATAAACCATAAAAGAAAGTATACTCCTCAATATTTATACTCATGAAGTACACTGGCTTGAGTGAATCCCTTACACAAACGATCAAACAGTGCTTATGAGGAGATCACGAAAGTTAGTGATCACAGGATGCGAGTGAGACTGGAAGCAGAATGTGCGTCTGGAAATAATCCGAAATTGTTACATCAACAGTACAGATTTTGGCGCCAGTGAAACAATTGCTGGGGAGGGTTGAGGTAATATATCAAACACTTTACTTTCAAAGATGAATGGAAAACTGAATAGACTACTATGGAAAGTAATTTAACTGACCTACAGCACTATCAACGTTAACTTTATCTCCTTGTAGATAAACGTATAGTATTTTGAAAAAATGAATAACCTGCGTTAAAAAAAATGATTTACCGCGTAACTAGTTTGACGGTAGTAAGAAAAAAAGGTGATCGTATTTATGCAGCATCCGTGAAAGTTATTCTATCATACAGTTGCGAGTAATAGGTGAAGATTACACATCTTGGTTGTATTGTGTTCTCTGAAATGGGTTGTTTAATCGTGAAGCTTTTATCGTCTTGCTACACAGCGACATCATCCACAACACTAACTTCAGTATGAAGTCAGCCGTCAATATCTCTCCGTCAGTGATTTAGTGGCTTGCTCTGACGATGTGGTCTGTGATTGGTTGTTTCCTTCGATTGCTGTCTCATTGACTGACTATAAAGATTTTCCTGTTGGCTGTTCCTCTGCTTCACCTCTAACCTTTCTATCGTTTATCACTTTTCTTACTGGTTGATAGATTGGGTCTATATCTATACATGTGTTGATTGCTGACTGACTGACTGACCTGAATGCCAAGGTTCTAGGAATTCTCTGATATTCTTTGTGTTTCCTCTATCCATCTAAGATTTCTACATTGCCGAAATTGAATTCATGTCCATGGTTGTTATCCACGTGTTTTGAAATGAGCGATGAAATGTCGTGGCGTTTAGTAGACACTAGTTTACACTACATTGAACAAAGTGTTCGCCATCATCGCCTTCGTCTACACCAACTGGCCATTAAACGCCATGACATTTCATTACTCATTTTAATGCATGTAGATAATAACTGTGGACATGAATTCAGTTTCGACAATGTAGAAATCTTGGATGGATAGAGGAAACACAAAGAATATCAGAGAATTCCTAGAACCTTGGCATTCAGGTCAGCCAGTCAGTAATCAATAGATGTATAGATATAGACCCAATCTATCAACCAGTAAGAAAAGTGATAAACGACAGAGAGGTTAGAGGTGAAGCAGAGGGACAACCAACAGGAAAATCTATATAGTCAGTCAATGAGACAGCAATCGAAGGAAACAACCAATCACAGACCACTTTGTCAAGGCAAGCCACTAAACCACTCATGGAGAGATATTGACGGCTGACTTCATACTGAAGTTAGTGCTGTGGATGATGTCACTGTGTAGCAAGACGATAAAAGCTTCACGATTAAACAACCCATTTCAGAGAACACAATACAACCAAGATCATCCACCTAAGCTACAAATATTCTCCATTATTTCAAGAAGATTACAGATATTTGAGTTGTCATCAAGTTTACAGTCAAATTTTTTGTTGTACTCTTAAGGAATGTAACAGTTGACATAAATCTGCTGCTGTGTTCAGATTTCTCACTGTTTCAGAGAAGAGATACAATATAGCTTGATGAAAATGTACATTACAGAAGGATACCTTCTCATACAACAATAAATTAATTATATTGCTTACTTGAAGAGGTATAACAATAAGGAATACATTACGTTCACGTGGTGTCAACATATGCTTGATAAAAGCCCAACCAGCACCAATAAGTAGTATAGTGATAAACAGAAGTGCACCTCGAATACTGAGATAAAGAAAGAAAAAACAACAACCAATAATCAGCTGATTAAGCTAAACAAAACAAAATAACACAATAATTAACGAATAAAGGAAAAATTGGTTTCAACCTATTACAGTATACTTGTGGAAAATGAATGATGAAGAGTCTTAATATGCAGTGACATGATCCTATCTATTTCTTAAAGACGTTTGAGAGGATTTATTTATTTATTTCAAGTTGGTATTCACCATGGACAGACATTAGCTAGGGAAACATCGGACAGCTGTTTTATCCTAGTATGGGACTCCTCAGCAGTACGCACCTATGACTCCGATATAGATGCAATCTAGTTACCTTCGGGTTCCATTGTCAGCACGTTACCATTGAACTACTGAGTCAAAATTCAATGGTTCACATTTCCTACTTCCATCCGTTAACGATATATAGTGAAACCTCCATCCAATGCTGTCGTTGAGTAACTGTCTTCATGTCCAACTTAGTTGGTCCCATAGGTTACGACTTATTATTCGAACATTGGGAATCATTTCTCGAAGCAAGTCACTAATGACCATGAGATTAATTCATTTTGGAGGTTTGTGGGGAACCGAAAGTTTCTCTGTCAACAATAATCATACAATAATAAGCTTGAATATGCAGCTTTAACTTGGAACAGTGTTAATTTGACCTCGACAAATATTGCTGAAATCACAAGAACAAAAAGAAAGTGTCGGTAACACTTCCAGTATTTGACGACAGAATAAAGTTTTATTGGGTAAATTCTAAGTACATTACACTTGTGGAAATCTAGCTCACTTAGTTAAGAACTCGACTCCGTTAATGATTCAGGGCTGAAAACTTACTACATCTGCTTCTACTTGACCTAGATAAACTGACAATATCACCAAATGCTATACAGTAAATACGGTTCAAAATGTAATACACAAAATTTGTACAAAGGAACTGCGTTGCATTAGTGTTAATTTCGGAGCTAGTTTATTCTTTTATAACTAGTATATTGATTATTAGAATACCGTAAAAAATTTGATGCAAACATTATTGAGTATACAATCTCCAGTAAGTAATCATCATCAATATCAACATAGGATCAGGCATTACAGCGTAACGGTCCAACTCGCCACACCTCATATCATTACATCAAGTAAAAAGGTAGTGAGGTGCAAGATTAAGACAAGAGAATGTAGTCAAAAGAAATATAAAGTATGAGAAGAAAGAAAGGAATAATGACTAAATGGTGAGATTCGGTATAGCGTTGTTAAGATGAGGATAATGTGTGCACACATCTGCGCCACTGACATGAGTTCTCAGCCATATCACCTACAGTCAGTCTCCTACCACTGGTTCCTCTTGTCCCACCGACCCCAACCACCTAGTCTGCATCGCCCCCACATAGCTCAAACCAACTGTCAAACACTTCATACATTGATGTCATGCTTTAGTCTGTACACCTCGGGCCTTTTCCCTGCCTGGACCTACTTCGACCAACATTGTGTGACGAGGTGGACGGCGACTAGGCATACGTAACACGTGTCCCAACCATCTCAGTCGATGAAGGTTCATAACCTCATCAACTGATTAACCTCGTCCCCCTAAAACTCTACTCCTGATTTCTGCGTTACTCACGTGGTGACACCACGGAATTCGGCAGCCTATACTACGAAGGCCAACGGTGGTCAAACACATGAAGCCTTCTCATGTCTTCCACCTTCAGTGACCATGTGTCACAGCTACACAGTAGAACAGAGTGGATTACTGTGCAGTACACGTGACCCTTAATAGACAACAGGTGGTGTAAGTTGGTAAAAGCCAGCCAAGCCCTCTGCATTCGTGGGGAAATTTCACTGGATACTGAGCCACCAGGGTAGGGCTGATCCTACTTCCCAGGTAAGTGAAGTGAAGTGAAATGGTCGACACACTCAACCACTTCACTCTCTATTGTTAGCCGCTGTGGGGCATCGTTGAAGACCAATCGTGGAGCAATAGTTTGCACTTGAGTGGTGACCAACGCATCTCAAACATTCTCAAATTCCCACTCAAAATGTTCAGAAGACTTTGTACCTTGTCAGCGTCTTCACCTAACAGGGCTGTGTCATCTGCATATTCTAGGTCTAACGAAAATTGTCCCGTGACTACGTCAAACCCTGTGTAGACAGGTGACGAGGGGGTAGACCTCCATGAGAATATGTATGGTGAGATTGAATAAGAATGGCGATAGTGGGCACACTTGACAGACACCACTCGATGAGTACAGCTCCCCGACATCTCACCATAGGCTGTGACACCCCCACAAGTGTTCGAGTAGAGAGCTTTCAACAAGGTGATTTACTTACTCGGTATGCCTTTCAGTGTGAGACATTGCCATAAGACTTCTCGATCAACGGAATCGAATGCCGCCTTCAGGTCAAGAACCAGTAAGTAATAGCAGGATACCACATGCATATACCGCGATAGTATTGATAACTTGAAATGTCAGAACAAAGCCTCACTTTTTGACTGAACATGCAAAGGACAATAGTGAGGCGTTTCTTTTTTAAAGAAAGGCAACCAGTATATCCATCTGTGCCAACATCCTACGTTATGAAAGAACCATAAAAGGTTCGAAAATGGGATAAGATGGAAGGTTAAACTGTGAAATTTTTAGTAGAAAAGTTCATAAAGAATGTGTTAACCCTAGTGTGGGTCAAGATAGAAAAAATGGTTGTACATATTTCTTTTGAACACATAGATCAAGGTTTTTTTTTAAAAAAAAGCTGTATTTAACAGAATTCAAGACCTCTGCTCGCACAATTCTGTGTCAGCTGTAAGGTTTCATGCCACTATCTGATTGCAGAGAGGATTTAGAGTAATTACAACATGCCACAAAAAGGTTTACATTCAAATTCACAGCCGTTTGAAGACATATATACAGCTTCTGTTTGAAACAGAGAGAGACCGTGCGCCGGTTCAAGATAACTGATGTCAATCTCTACATCGTTATGACGATGCTGATCCGAAAAAATGGTTACTTGGGTCTCATTGATGAGTATTAATTCGCACACCCAATTCGAGTGACCCAACAGCGCTCATTAAGACATAGGGAACCTATGAATCAAAAGGTTCATTCATAGAAACCATCACAGACGAAGCAATACCTTCATTTTCAGAGCTTTGTCCCGATCCATGCAAAAATGATGCAATCGAAACGCTATTTAATAGAGCCAAGAAGGAAAAGGCACCAGCGTTGGATAAAACCCTGCAACCATTTAGGCTTACTACCAATACCGACAAGAAAAAGACAATGGTTAGTAAAACCATTAACAAAAAGGTCGGAAGGTAGACAACCTCCAACGACAGGTAGGTAGAAAGTTGGGTAGAACACTTTGAAGCACAGCTCAATCGGCTCACAGCAACCCTTAAGTTGCCCAACATACAGCGTCTAGCTGGCACCTGTCAAATGTAAGATGATACTCTAGGCATCACTGGTTTGAAAATACTACAGTTTAATGAAAGGGAGAAAAGTCGTGGAATGTGTTGACCACTTCACTAACTTGGAGTGTTGCATCAACTCAAACGGACAGGTTCCTGACGAACTGTCAGCTCCGATACAGAAGGTTCGTTCAGCCTTTGCCAACTTGCATGGCCTGTGACACCGACTGGAGAGATATCTATCTATCAAAGGACGACATATATATATTCTGCTGTAAGGTTGTGAAACACGGCCGTTAAAAAAGACATGAAGAGGTTACAGGGTTTTGATCATAGGTGTCTTCGTAGCATTTTTCGCGTTTCGTGGAATCACCGTGTTAACAATGTTGAGTTCAGGAGAAGGATACTAGGTAAGACAGGTAAGTTGACTTATAAGATTGTGAACCTTAGTTGACTGAGATGGCTTGGACATGTACTGTAGATGCATGCTGAGCCACTCAACACGCCATGGTGGGGTAAGCTGCATTACATTATAAGAGAGTTTAGGGTGCACAAACCAACACATGGTACCAGTCGATGAAGTCTCTTACTGTTGGCCTGAGTTGTATGGGGAGATGCAGACTACCTGGTCGGGGTACCTGAGACAAAAAGAATCAGTGGTTGAGGACAGTTGGCGACATGCCTGAAAATCGGTCACAATGGTACATATGCATTCACTCCTTGACATCTTCTAAGACTTAAATACTTTCACTAACCGTCATTTTCAGATTGTTGATTCTCTTATACAACTTTGTCTACTACTTTGAAATCACTCTTCTCCTATCCACTTGTTCTTTGTATACCACTGTGAAATGTAGTAACTTCAATCGATACTCTTATGTGCGAGGTTGTACGTTGATTTTCTTAGTCAGTTAGTACCATTCATTTCAATGTACACTTAGTTTTCTTCTGATGTTTAGTCCTGTACTGTAATCAATCATCTTAAGTGACTACTAATTACCCTACCCAGAATGATGTAATCCACTGGCAACCGATTCAGTTCTCACTATAATGGTAACATTCATTATTTACGCACACAAAATACACATTACTCTTTACACTGCACTACTATCCATTCAATGTCTTATTTAATCATACAATTTATGTTCAGCCTATTCAGTTTGAATACTCTCACTCCTAATTTTTATATTACTGTCAAACTTGTTCATTTCTCCTATATTGTTATTATACTTCAATCGATGTCTCAGTTGACATAATGTATGTATGTACTGCCTATAATTGGTATATATACATATAGAGTAACCAACTGATAAGTTTATCTGAAATCGAAATTCACTTTCTTCATATTCATTGCTTGATTTGAAATTTTATGAGGTATGGGAGAAATTAATGTTTTTCAGTAAGTGGTTGAATGGTTGAATACATTTATCAACATAATTATGAAGATGATTTAATGACTGATAGAATGGTGGACACGGAGAGAAATGATTCATTTTAGTATTCCATGATGTATAACAGCTTTTATACAGTCAATATTTTTGATCCCCTATCAATGGTGTATTTCGTTTTGTCTTATTCGACAGAGACGACTAAAGATGGTTGGTATGGTTTTCTTGAAAGTTTTTCTGTAGTATGATACCATGATTAGTGAGTGACCAATTTCGACGTTGGACATAAAGTTTCAAGAGAGGAATATAAGCATTCAGTGAGAATCTGTTCTTTGAATAGATTAAGGTGACTGAACCATGCATTATGCATACTGAAGAACCATCTAATCCAATATTAGTTGGAGTAAAAAACAAGATTGAAAAAAGGTCACATAGAAGAAAGCAATGGATCCATTGATTGCTGATTTGAAGTGTGTAAAGAAATCGAAGTTTCCTGACTAAAACTCATAGGAGTTTGAAAACCAACATACAAATATCATATGTGATACCGCTCAAAGAAGACCACAGCGATGATGTATTCTATGTCTGACCACCTTACAAACTCAAATATACGATTATGCTTCACTCATTTATTTCTCCTCCAATCATATCTTCATATTTTGCTCACTATAGTATTTCATTACCTCTGCTGTTTGTTAACTTATGCGTTGATACAAATATAGGAAATTCTACATCATATATATAATGAAGTTAATGATCTGAGTATAAATTTCTGAGCAATAACCTTGAATTTCTTCTCTTGAAGGTTATTTGATTTCCCTTGGGTTCCTAGGGGAACATACGGCTTCACTACCACGTCTCAATTCCACTCTCTTCTCTGTAATATTTTCAACCTGGCTCTATCACTGCCCACAAGCTCTCATTTCTTCCTCACAACATCCCCTCCATGTCACCCTCACATCGGACGCCCAACTCGTCGTTTCCCAACTGGGTTCCATTCGAGCACCTCGTCTGGCGCATAATGTCCCCAGTTGGCCTTTTCAGTATATGTCCAATCCCATCCATCTCCACTTCCTTACACTGCATATTTGTTGACCAACAGCTTCTTGGTTGGTTCGTTACCAGCCAGTCACAGTGACTTCCTCCTTGCTTATTCTTATCATTCTCATAATCCATCTGAGCTTCAGTGTCACTATCGAGCCAGCGTAGGTGGCACTTCTTCATGAATGTGTGTAGTTTGTTGGAAATGCTTTTGGTAACGCATCGCCAAGTCTCTCAACCATCACACAGAAACACTGGCTCACTTCACTGACATTCGTGTTGAAAATCCGAATATTGTTGACACTTTATGTTGAGTGGAGTGCAGAAGATCTCGACACCATTTTCAGGTTAATCAAGGAAGGCCTGTGTTGCTGTCTTTCGGATGCTGGCTGCTTTGACGTCCTCGTCTATGCCACCATCGCCGCCTGTAGTTGAAATGATGCTGCTTTGCCTAGATAGGTGAAAGAGACTACTTCCTTTAAGTTTCTCCCGTTCATGGTGATTGGAGCTTGTTGCTGTTGTTGGTTGGGTATCTTCATCACCTCTGTCTTCTCTAAGTTCACCGAAGGGAGGCCCTTCTTCACTGCCTCAACTCTTCTGTCAAATTGTTACTTTTCGTCTGTAGATCTTCAATTTTGTGTGAAATAACATTAGACACAAGTCATCGACGACGAAATCCAAATCTTATAGGATCTTTTACCCAGTCCAGCCAGCGTATCCCCCTCTTCTCCCTCCTCACTGTTTGTTGCACGATCCAGTCCAATACTATCAGGAATATCGTGGGGGATAGTAGATAGCCTTGTTTTACTCCTGTCTCCTGTCTTCACTTCAAAGACATCACTCATCTTCCCATTGTGAATTACTTGGCATGTGGCATCTTCATATAGCTGTTGAATGAGATTGATAAAGGTTTGTGGCACTGTAACCGTAGTATTGAAGCAATTGCCTGACAAATTACTTCTCAGTCAACGCTGTCGAAGGCATTTTCAGAGTTGATGAAGTTGAGGTGACTGCCATTCTATACTCTGTTCTGTGATGATGCGTAGAGTGGCGTTGGAATTTGGTCCGCACATGATTTGTACTTCCTTAATCCAGCCAGCTAGCCTGTTCCGGTCGTAGTTTTGAATCCAGCGCATCCTCTAGTCTCTCCAGGATGATCCGGCTTAATATATTGTGCTTGGGGTGGACAGCAGCATGATTCCACGCCAGTTCTTGCAAACACTGAGGTATCCCTTCTTCGGGAGTTTGACAAGGTATCCCTTCTTCCAATCGCCAGGTACCTTCCCTTGCTTCCCTGCAAATCTTCTGTAATAGTGGTGTGAGCATGTCCGCTGTTGTCTTTGCGTCTGCTCTCAGTGCTTCTGGCGGGATTCCATCTGGTCCTGCTGCTCTATATTATTCTCGGTAGTCTAAAATCATTGATTTTGATTAGTTATCTAATCAGGAAGTTTACATATCTAGTCAAATGATTATCTGCGAAGTTAAAAAAAATATATATCTCATTGGTTCTGATTGAATTCCACGACTTCTGGTTTCTTTAAGAATGTCGAGGGAAGATATTGTGCATCTTGGCTGTGTTACTTATACCTTTATTTTTTTCCGAATTTCAACACTATCACATCTTTTTTTATCTGACTACTTTACCTAACCAGTGCAGATAAAGTGATACTGGACTGGCAAATGGAAGAACTGTTGGATAAATATTTAAGGCTGTTAGACCAAACAAACATTAAGTGTATGGGTAAATGTTTACAAAATGCATGAATTAATGATCAAGGTAAAATAATCAGTAATAAAAACAGTATCATAATGAGCAACAGAAAACACACACACACACATACATATGAGTAATGTAATACATAATTGCCCAACTTTCTTCATGTGCTCCATGCTTTCCAATCACATAGTAATTTATCTGAAATATTGGTGGAGAAAAATCCAAAATCTCAATTTTATGAAAATAAGGATTAAGCAAAGCTAATTATCATAAATAAATACTCAAATCATTTACAGTAATATTTAAATAAATTTGTGTTTAATGTCAGTCATCGTTAATAGGAATCAATGCCAGTCATTCAAAGAAAACCATCTTGAAGAGTTGAATTACCAATTTCCCAGTGTTCACTATTGTATTCGATTCACTTATAATGATTAGTGTTACTACTTTTAAACACAGATTTGAAGTAAATGAATGATTATTATTTGAAGAGGTGTCATTCATTGTTAAGTACGATGTAGTGGAACATAGGGCCTCGGTAGCCCGTCGCCACTTCACCTTCTTCTCTTAAGTCTTTTCAACCTGGCTCCACCATTGCCCACAAGCTTTCATTTCTTCCTCACACCATCAGCTCCATGTCACCGTCGGACGCCCAACTCGTCGTTTCCTATTTGCGTTCTACTCGAGGGCCTGGTGCATGATGTCCCCAAACGGTCTTCTCAGTGCACGTCCAGTCCACTCTATCTCCACCTTTTTCTGTATATTTGTTGGGTGATAGGTTCTTGGTTGGTTCATTGCCCAGCCAGAGTGAGTTCCTTGTTGCTTATTCTTTCTCGCTATCTATTTGATCTTCAGTATCGAGCCAGCGTAGGGGGCAGATGTTCATGTATGTTTGTTGGAAGTGATTTTCGTAACGCAGCGCCAAGTCTCTCAACCATCACATAGAAGCATTGACTTGACTGACATTAGTGTCGAAAATCCGGATCTTGTTCACGCTTTATGCTGAGTGCAGTGCAAAGTATTGAAGTAGATCTCCACACTGATTTCAGATTACTGAAGGCAGGCCTGCCTTGCTGTCTTCCCGATCCTGGTTTTGACATCCTCTTCTGTGCCGCCGCCTGTAGTTGAAACGATACTACCTTGCCTAGGTAGATGAAAGAGACAACGTTTCCCGTTGATAGGGATTGGTAATTGTTGTTGTTATCAGTTAGGTTTCTTCATCACCTCTGTTTTCTCTACGTTCACCTGAAGTCCTACCTTCGCTACCTTGCCTCTTCTGCCAACTTGTTAGTTTTCGCCTGTAGATCCTCGAGTTTGTGCGACATTATACATAAATGATCATCGGCGAAATCCAAATCTTCTAGGGTCTTTTCACCAGTCAAACAGTGTATACCCATCTTTTCGCTCCTCATGGTTTGTTGCATGATCCAGCCCACTATAATCAGGAAGCCGATCGGTGATACCTTGAAAGGATCTAATGAAACAACCATAATAACGTGATATGGGCGCATATCATAAAAAAAATAATCACTTAGTGTTCTCATGGGTCAGAAGTTACATAATGGACATAAGAAAAATGAATACACATAAACTGAGTATTGTACTTATTTACGTTTTGGCATGTTATCATAATCGAGAAAGTATATTGTAAATATCTTCTCGGATGCGTATTTTCATGATTACTGTTAACAACAGGGTTATCATCCTGATTTAAAGTGACACAGATTACTGTAAATTAACAATATGTACAACTTCTGTCGTCATCATCATCAATAATACCACGCATTGCTGTACAACAGTTCAAGTTGCCACATCCTCACATCAGCACATCAAGTAACAAGGCAATAAAATGGAAGATGAGGATGATAAGAAAATTCTCGATCAAACGAAGTAGAAGTCCAAAGTAGTAAAAAGAGAAGGAGGAATGAGACAATGATGAGATTAAGTATGGCGGTTAAGATGACGATAGTGTGTATGCATCTGCTCCACTGACATCGATTCTGAACCATATCACATAGAGTCTGATACCGCTGGTTTCTGTTGTCCCATGGACTCCAGCCGGCTAGTCAGCATCTCCGTATACGGCTAAAATCAACAGTAGAAGATTTTATGCAGTGATGCCATGTTTTATTCCGGCCTGAATATTGCGCAACGAGGCAGATGGTGACTAGGCATACGTAACACATGCCCCAGCCATCTTAGTCGATAAAGATTCACGACCTAAAACTCCACATCTGACTTCTGCATCACTTACGTGGTCTTGGGCTATGCTAAGGAGGCTAAGAAGATGGTCAAACGCCTGAAACCTTCTCAAGTCCTCAATATTTGATGACCATGTTTCACAGTCATACAGTAGAACAGGTCAAACTGCAGTACAGTATACTCGACCCTTAATAGGTAATCGGTTACAGCGGAGGCGTCACAAATGTCGCAAGTATGCGAAAGCCAACCGAGCTGTTTGTATCCGTGCAGAGATTTTGTCAGCCAATGACGCACCAGGGCAGAGGTGATACGATTTCCCAGATAAAAGAATTGTTCAATGCACTCAACCACTTCACTCTCTATTGTTAGTCAAAATACCGTTGAAGACTAGTTCTGGAGCAACAATCTGTGCTTGAGTGGCAAGAAACGCATTCCAAACATTCTTAAATTACCGTTTACGGTGTTCAGAAGATTCTGCATTTTCATTTAACAGGACTATGTCATATTTTACATCTGTCACAGCTCTATAACCATCATATATATGTACATACACTAGCATATGGGCTCGTATGTGGATACTTCAATATTATCTGATTACCGACTATGTTGTAATTTGCTTGATGGTAGTTAACAGTTGAATCCAAGATGCACATTTCACTCAATATGTGATTCATCAACTGAATGCATTTAAACCCCCCTAAGTGATTTTGTTCCCAGTACCCATCATTTCAAACCTAAAAGTATCATCCAATAGGCTTAGTAAATGATTTCACAAAGATGTATAAAAATGAATTGTATGTCGGAAGAATCGTTTTCTTCTTGTTGAATTCTTTACATTAAAAAATAAATCGAAATATAATTTAACAGACATTTAAAAAAACCCTCATCATCTTACAGGCTAAGTCATTATTGATACTGTTAATTATTATTATTATTATTATTAGTCCCTTGGGTTCCTAGTGGAACATAGGGCTTCACTAGCACGTCTCCAGTACACTCTGTTCTCTGAGATCTTTTCAACCTGGTTCCATGACAGCCCACAAGCTCTCATTTCTTCCTCGCACGACCTCCTCCATGTCACCCTCGGCACCGACGCCCAACTCGTCGCTTCCCATGGGGATTCCACTCGAGCAACTGGCCTGATGCGTGATGTCCTCAGTCGGCCTTCTCAGCGCATGCCACTTCAATCCATCTCCACTTCCTCCTGCATATTTGTTACGTGATAGGTTCTTGGTTGGTTCGTTCCCAGAGCTCCTTGTTGCTTATTCTTTCTGGCCATCTATCTGATCTTCAGTAGCGAGCGTAAGTGGCAGTTGTTGATGAATGTCTGTAGTTTATTGGAAATCCCTTTCGTAACGCGCCATCAAGTCTCTCAACTATACAGAAGCACTGACTTGACGTTGGTGTTGAAAATCCGTATCTTGCTCCGCATGCTGAGTGCAGAAGATCTCCACACTGGTTTCAGGCTAATGAACGCCTGTCTTGCTTTTCCGATTCTGACTTTGACATCCTTGTCTGTCCCGCCTGTAGTTGAAACAGTGCTTCCTAGATAAGTGAAGGAGGTTACTTCCTTTAAGTTTCTCCCGTTGACGGTGATTGGAGTTTGTTGTTGGTGGTGGTGGTGCGGTATCTTCATCACCTGATACAGTTAATAAAATGATCATTTTTAATGAAAGTTTTATTCGAAATGTATAACTTACACTGTGAAAGCCAAGTGAAATCGATTTAATTACAACAACGACCAGCATGAGATAATGAATTCGGAAAACTGAATTTCTAAGAGTAAAAAAAAAAGAATGAACAATGAAAATAAATCCTCATGGTAATAAATCATTCATTTAGTGTGTAAATACTATTCATTGTATTGTTTTTGTAATGCATAACAACTCCACTATGAAACAACAATAACAAATCGTATTCGAAGGAAAAAATAGACTTGAGATGATAATTTGTTTAGTTCACATAACAACTACAATAAAATGAGATTAAATACCTTTAAAAAATTGAAAAATACATTCAAGAACCTCAACAAATGAAAAGAAGAAAAGTATACATTCTACAGACCTCGCCAGGTTAACTTAGCTGACTAGTTACTAGCCAGTCCTAAGTCCGGATAAAGAGGGAAGGTTGAGCATAGGGCTAGCAACCTTACACCGTAAAACAAATCTAACCGCTAAAGAAACTTCAAAGCACAAATAAAATATAAAACATAAAAACAAAATTACTCCTCGCAGGAATCGAAGAGACGAAATAACACCGGTTGGTGAAAACCTTCGGGAAGTCAATTGACCGGGCCGATGTATCTTTTCACTCTCGATGAAAGCGAAAGTAAGATTGGGGACATGGAATATTCACACTATGTTTCAACCTAGTAAGGCTGCCCAGATTGTAAACGGGCTGTAGTGGAGCCAGGTTGAAAAGATTGCAGAAAATAGAGTGGAATGAAGATATGCTACTGAAGCCCTATGTTCCACTAGGAACCCAAGGGACAAATAATATAATAATAACAATAATAATAATACATTCTACAGATTACCAATATATCACTAATAATCGGTAAATCAAATAAGGTTGTCAATCTTTCAACTAGAATCTTAAGTTTAATAGAAGTAAATCCATATTAAAGAACAACCATAACATAAATATAACAGTTATTCAATTGAAACTTGAAGATATCATTCTCATAATAGAAAAAACATCAAGTTCAGTTGATGAAGTATGAGCATAATATGTACTAAAGCTAAAATGATAAAAGAAAATTAAGTTAATTGATATAAATATAAAACTTGGGCAATGTAATTCTACTATAGATTTGTTTATTTGATATATAGAGCACAACTGTACAAGGGGGGGGGGGGTTCAAAAACGCCGCACATTTGACTTCAGTTCCCCTCAAACATCAAGAAAAACAACATTCTATTGGAACAGCATGAGCATGACTCCAAATATATAAAACTACTCGTTAATTAGGTTATTATAAGAATTTTTTTTTTGTCCTAGACTTTGTGCAGACTGTATCTTCCTCTGGGTTGCCCTATTCTTAACCATCTAAAAACAACTCTAGCAACTAATGAAATAACCAATTAAGTTTTTTATTTCGGCTGGAAAAGTAGGTTTTTTTTTCAAAAATAGGAGGAACTAATTGGTTACTTCAGTAATTGTTAGAATGACCTTGAAATTGATGCTGCCACTATAAGATAACTTCAAGGTCATCTTAGCAACGATATAAATAAATAAATAAATAAATAAAGGTTTAAGAAGTTATTATTTTGGCTGAAAAGGTAGTTATTCCTGAAATAAAGAAATATAATTGTCAATCTTAGCAGTTGGGTAAATTTTTCTTCATTTTCTTGATGATTTTTCGAGCGTAAATTTATTGCTCAGAATCTTATCAATGTAACCACACTACTTTTGATATTTCCTTTTTATAGTCCTGTCACCTGTTATTCTTTGTTTCTATGGATAGTAAAATTTACCATATCTTTGGTATGGAGGTGTTGCATCATTGTTGCTATTACATGTGTTGGGTGTTGATTCGATGAACAAAGATTCAGTAATCAATCTCTAATTGGACTTGAATACAGTGGATCCTCAAAAAAGTTGGAATTAGGATAACATTTAAACCTACAAACTCAATCAGAGATACGTTTTATCGGCTGGCTTAAGAAATCAATTCAGCAAAATAATCTAAACTATCAAATTCCATGGAATGACTATGAGGTCAAGTACATAGATCAAACTAGCCGGTCGGGGTCAATTAGAATAGCTGAACATAGGAATTTAGCTAAATATAGAATGAAAAATTTGAATAACACTCGGCTATTGCAATGCGCGCATTAACACACAACTACACAATTGGGTGGGATAAAACCACTGTACTGAAGTTCAACATAATTAGGTAGGTAGGTAGGTAGGTAGGTAGGTAGGTAGGTAGGTAGGTAGGTAGGTAGGTAGAAAGACGGGGATTGATTGTTGAATCCTTGTTCATCGAATCAACACCCAACACATGTAATAGCAACAATGATGCAACACCTCCATACCAGAGATATGGTAAATTTTACTATCCATAGAAACAAAGAATAAGAGGTGACAGGACTATAAAAAAGAAGCATCCCATTCTATGAGTTGTCGAAATATTTAGCAATGTTATTAGACCTATCTAGAAATCATTCAGAATTTCAACTTACTAACTCTTATGACTTAAAGCTACGGAGGTAGTTAGAAATGAACTCAATGATGATCATGAGCTTACTCATCCGCATAACGTACCAAATCATGTTAGGAGTACAATTGTGTCGGACGTTTACAGTTTAAAAGTCTTAAATTATAAATAAATAGATGGATGGAGTTGCCATAGCATCATAAATATCTCCCACCGTCATCTACATATTTATGGACATAGCCCTTGAAACATTGAGTCTTGTTCCAAAAATATGGTTTAGGTATGCAGATGACACATTACAGTACTAAAATCAGAATTATTAAGTAGATTCTTTACAAACATAAACTCGGTAGTGAACGCAGTCTAAACTGTGTAAGAATAAGAAAGTGGTAGAATGGAGTTAGTGATGTAATGGGGAGGTGGATAACAGTCTGAGGAAACTTGAGTGCTGATAGAGTTGTGAGGGCGATTGACACTTTCCGGCTGCCCACACCGTGGAAGGCTATTTCTTCTTCAAGTACCTGAAAGAGATTTGCGTGACTGCAGAGCCCATCGGACATCTGCTTCAAGCCTATCACACTCAGCCTTTTGTGTATGATTATTTTGATTTTTTGTATTTTTCGGGGCCGGATGGTCGAAAAGAAACGACAAATGAACCAACACCGACAGCCCCACAGACCGTGGGGCAATGGTGGAGTGTGTTATTTTTGGGACCAACCTTTTCTAACACACCCCACCCCCATTACACTCAGAAGGCAGCATCAACATGGCACTGCTGGTCATCCAAGGGAAACACCTTACTGCTGTCACACCCCATCCAGCTAACAGTAGTACGACTTCGCCCTCAGACTCCCATCATAGTGTAGCAATTTACACCACAACAGTAACTGCTTTTCGTCTAACCATTATCCAACAGACCTTTCTGGTATGGTAGAACCTCGAGGGAACAAGTGTTCCACCAGCATAGCCCGTTAGGTCATTGTGATATGCAAGTCCGACCACCACGTCAAGGTAGCAGCTATCGGTCGGGTATTGTACAACTCTACAATCATTTTATTATAGAAAAAACTTTAGTCAGATTGTCAATAAGGTATATCTTCCCTTCTCTCTCACTTCTTTCATATCTCCTAATAGTTAAAGGGTCACGTAGAAGTCGAGAATAGTCAATACATGTTTCATGAAACTTAAGTGTTCTTGTTAATTGATTAACTCGGAATTGTGCCTCCATAGTCCATACACTCCGATTACATACACGACAATAAACTGTTCAATACAGCCTCATGGATAACTTTAAAGGCATGAGAATTCAACTGAATTCAATACAGGTTACTTTGCGACTACTATTCATTCTTCTTTTTCAACTACATCATATTTAGCTTTGATGAGTAGTAGATGATTGCTAATCTAGTTACTATGATGTCTCATGACTGGAAAATGTGTTACACATGCCTGGTGACAGTCTGCTCTGTTGTGTAATGTTAGCTGAAATAGAATTAAGTTAGTGAAAGGTTAGAAGTGATTCGATTAAAACATCGTATCAGTCCATGAAGTTTATTGATCCAGCTAACAGCAGTACGACTTCGTCCTCAGACCCTCACACCATAGTGTAGTAATTTACACCACAACGGTAAGAGTAAAACTTAGGCACTATGGTATTGTATATTGTCTATTTGATGTAGTACATAATGGTGCACAAAGACGGTTCTGATTGAAAAATCAATTGAAATCTACTCGTTCAAATCGCCACTTAGACTTCAAATCAGCTTATCATTGTGTCAGTTACAGGGGGTTAAGCTGGATGTCTAAGTAACAGGGTAAAAAAAAACTTATACTAGTAGGGCAGAAAATTTGAAACAAGAAATTAAACACACAAAGAATACCTAACTGCTCCGTAATTACCAACTTAAATTTATCGATAAATTCCTAAGAAATCATGAGAAAAATATGAGCATTATAAGCAACACAGGTAATAATAATAACAATAATAAAAGTAGTAGTAGAAGCAGCATCAAAAACACCAAGGATGACACTGTGGAGACACAATTCAAAACCTCTGATCAGTTAGATCAGTTACAAGCAATGAAACTAACAGGTGTCATGAAACATTCTCAATAAGGCTAGGATTAGAATGGCATCTTAAGCCACAAACGCACTTAGAAACAAGTTTTATAGGCTAAAATATCCTATGAGTTCAATCAAGCATAGTAATAATGGTAATAATAATAATAATAATAATAATAATAATAATAATAATAATAATAATAATAATAATAACTTTATTCTAACCATTATGTGGCACAATTTAGAATCCTCAGCATGATATATTGTAACAATAACAAAATATATTTATGTATATACTCCTTTAAAACATTTTGGATTGTGTTATGATAAAAATCGAAGTAATATAAAGAATAGTAATCACGAGAACATTTTACATTGTTAATTAAACTATTGAATTGAGATTGTTTAACTGTTACAAAGTTGATGTGTGAGTTCTGTTCTTACACTATTTTCCTCACTTAAAATGTGTGCTAGGAAAGGGTACAGTTGAATTCTTGTACTTGGGTGTACGAGCATACAGTCTTACGTAATTTCTACTGGTCCTCTCTGAGGA